TCCCCCAGAAGGGACCTCCCCTGCTGAGCCCTTGATTAGTTCCAGCCTCCAGAACTGAGAAGACCAATGGCTGAAGCTGCTCATTCCGGGGTGTGTTGTCTTGGGGACCCCACATGGGATATCGTGATTCTTGGCACTCTGTGATCTCAGAAATGAAGAGGCCCTCATAGTGACATAGTATTGGGACAATGTCCTAAGAGCCACGGATTTAGTATTCCAGCTGTCCAATCGTCTCCTCAATGATGGGACCTTTCCCAGACAAATTCCCTTAGATGGGACAGTATAGCCTGAGGCAGAGGTACAGGGGAGCAAGATGCAAGGCCAAGCCAGGCATGATGCCCCAGGCCTGTCATCCCAGTGGCTCAGGAGGCTGAGGCAGGAGGATCGCAAGTTGGAGGCCAGCCTCAGTAAAAGCGAGGCCCTAAGCAACTCAGGGAGACCCTGTCTCTAAACAAAATACAGAATACGGCTGGGAATGGGGCTTAGTGGTCGAGGGCGCCTGAGTTCAATCCCTGGTACCAAAAAAAAAAAAAAGCCCAGTGTACACCTTCACAGGGTGTGTTCCCATTAACCTGTGCTTGGCCTTAGGCCATAGAAGGCCACCCCTCTTCCAGGAGGTGGGTGTGGACATGAACCACTGGTGTCAAATGTCAGATGATCCCCTGCTCTGCCAGGCCAAGAAAATGGAGCAATTTATACATGTCCCTGGGGCCGTGGAGTTCAACACAGGCCAGCCAATATTCTATTTCTTGCTAGAAGGACTTGGACATGGGAATTCTATGGAAAAGGGAATTCTTCCTAGTCAGGAGAGCTCAGTTATGACCCTTTTTTTGGTACCAGGGATTGAACCCAGGGGTGCTTAACCTCTGAACCCCATCCCCAGCCCTTTATATATTTTATTTAGAGACAGGGTCTCACTGAGTTGCTTAGGACCTCTTAAGTTTCTAAGCATGGGAGCTCGACTGGACTGGGATTTTTTATGGGGCTTAGGCAGAAAGGGAAGGGCTTAGGACAGGAAAAGGTGTTGTTAGATTCCCTTGTCACATTGGAGTTGTTCAGGGGAGTTGGCTGAGGCTGGCCTCCAACTTGTGATCCTCCTGCCTCAGCCTCCCAAGACGCTGGGATTAGAGATGTGTGACACTGTGTCCTGCAGCCCTGTTTGATTTGGACCTGTGGGGAGCCCATGGTGGAGCAAGGTGCTCACTTTATGGCAGCCAGAAAACAGAGACGAAGAGGCCAGGACTTAGCATCCCCCTCAAGATGACACCCACAGTGACCCAAAAGCTCCCCACCAGTTCCTACTTCCTTAAGATTCTGCAGCCTCCCAATAGTGCTATAGGCTAGTGGTCAAGTCTTTTGCATATGGGCCATGGTGGACATTTTGATACAGAACATAATACTCCTAATACTTTCAGATTGGCAATACCTGAATTTGAAGGAGGATACCTTCAAAAACGTAGAGTTGTCAGGCACGGTGGCCCATGCCTGTCATTCCAGCGGCTTGGGAGGCTGAGGCAGGAGGATCGCAAGTTGGAGGCCAGCCTCAGCAAAAGTGAGGTGCTAAGCAATTCAGCGAGACCCTGTCTCTAAATAAAATACACAATAGGGCTGGGGATGGGGCTCAGTGGTCGAGAGCCCCTGAGTTCAATCCCTGTTACCAAGAAATAAATGAATCAGTAAAAAATTTTAAAAATGATTTTAAAATTTTTTTTAAAAAGAAAGAAAGAAACAGGAAGTCCTGGAGGAGCGTCATCTCAGACCCCAAGCTGTCTTTACTGGAAAACTCAGTCCTGCAGAAGTTTGTTTCCCTGGATCAACCCAAAGGTGATGTAAGGGTCCTTGTCTCTGGGACTGGGGATGGGGCTCAGTGGTTAAGCGCCCTTGGGTTCAATCCCTGGTACCAAAAAAAAAAAAAAATCCCCCCAAAACGATCGTGATTCTGCTTTATTCTCTGGTGGATCACAGTCATCCGGGCACTAGTGGGACTCCAAACTTTTCTCTAAGTTATGGATCAGCTGGTTACTGTGGGTTCATGACTTCTAAAGTGGAAGTTCCAGGGTTTAACTTGTGATTGAAATGCAAAATTGGAAGCAGGTTGGAGATTCCTCAGAAGACTTGGAATGGAGCCACCATGGGACCCAGCTGTTCCACTCCTTGGTTTATACCCAAAGGACTTAAAATCCGCACACGACAGGGATGCAGCCACATCTATGTTTATGGCAGCTCAACTCATGATAGCCAAGCTAGGGAGCCAACCTAGGTGGCCTTCAACAGGTGGATGGACAAAGAAAACGTGGTCCATATACACAGTGGAATATTACGCAGCCTTAAAGAATGAAATGATGGCATTTGCTGGTAAATGGATGGAGCTGGAGACGATCATGCTGAGTGAAATAAGCCAGTCCCCCAAAACCAAAGGCAGAATGTTCTCTCTGATATGGGGACGCTGACCCACAATAAGGAGGAGGGGGCACAGCAGTTCCTTGGATGAGACCCAGGGGAATGGAGGGAAGGGAAGGGAGGGGACTGGGAGAGACAGGGGAATGGATGGACGTCACTTTCCATGTTCACATAAGAACACACGACAAGGGACACCCCACAGCAGGTCCAGCCACAGGAATGGGAAGTCACACCCCGTGTAGGTGTGATATGGCAGAATGTATTCTGTCATCATGGAGAGCTAAAAAGAACAAATTTTTTTTTTTTTAAAGTGAATTTAAAAAGAAAGAAAATGAAGCCGAGCGCGGTGGCACATGCCTGTCATCCCAGCGGCTCAGGAGGCTGAGGCAGGAGGATCGTGAGTTGGAGGCCAGCCTCATCCAAAGTGAGGCCCTAAGCAACTCAGTGAGACCCTGTCTCTAAATAAAATGCAAAATATTTTTCCATCTGCTTTTGGTAAAAACTTGTGAAGCCTCTGTCTAGCCTAAAAATAGGGACAAAGAGTGACTGTTATGTCCCTATCCACTGACATGTAACCCCCTCCACTGAGTCTAAAGTTTAAAGAATTTCCAGAGATTCCCAGCACTCCCACCCACCTCCGGGGACCACTGGTGGGGTTTTCACCCCACACGTTCAGTGCCCCAGATGGGACTTAGAAGCACCTCCTCCCGGCCACCCCTGTGTTCCCCTGGGCTGCTGTCCCTGGTCAAAGGTCCTCCCTCCAGCCCCCAGGATGCCTGGCTCACTGCTCAGCACCATTTGGAAACTCAGGATGACCGAAGGGCCATCCTGCGTCTGGTCTCTCCCAGGGACTTTCCCTGCCACTGTTTTAGACAGGGTAAAATGTCACCATGGTCCTGGCACGGTGGTGCACACCTGTCTGTCATCCCAGCAGCTCAGGAGGCTGAGGCAGGAGGATCGCCAGGTGGAGGCCAGTCTCAGCAACTTCCTGAGGCCCTGAGCAACTCAGGGAGACCCTGTCTCTAAATAAAATACAAAATAGGGCTGGGGAGACAGTTCTTCTGTCAAGGGGACCCTAGAAAGTGATCACCAGGCCCATCGGCAGCAGGAGGTCATGCCAAAGGGTCTGGCGTGGGGCTGCTCAGCCCTCTGTCCCCTCAGCCACACACAGAAGACTCCTCGTGGCTGCTGGGAGACCCGGGTAAAGTCCCTCCTCCCTCCCGCACCCCCAGTGTGACATCACCACGTGCTGCTCCAACCAAAGTGTGACTCTGCGGTGACCCAGGAACAGAAGGGAGCGCTGACCATCTTGGGAGCATCCATTTATAAGAGATTTAGGAAACAGAAATGGGTGAGGGACCCTGCATGGGGGCAGAGCAGGGCGGGGACAGGGGACCCAGGGGAAGGTCCCTGGTGTCTCCTCCAGGTGGGGGCAGGAGGCTGCTGCACCTCCCTCCAGGTCTGTGAGATCCTGTGTCACCTGAGGAGACAGGAATGACAATGAGCAGCAGAGTTCATCAAACCCACTGTCCCTAGACCTCCCGGGCCCTCCGTGTCCCCAGGGGTGACCAGCCATGGGAAAGCGACATCCAGGAAGGAGTCTGGGAGATGAGAGGTCCACTGCGCCACACCCACCTGGCCTTGCGGGGTCTCAGCTGTCGGAGTCCCTCAGAGACACTTTGTTCTGGAACCTTCTACCAGCCTGGTCTCTTGTGCGTTCGCGCCACTTGGTTTTGGAGCCTGTGGCCCGCCTTGGGGACTGCCACTCAGCAGCGCACGTGGACCATGCAGGCAGCGATCCTCCTGGACAGTCCCCCACAGCCCTTGCCGCTGTGGCTGGCAGGGCCCAGCATGTCACCACAGGGTGGCTGGACTGAGACCAAGCTCTTTTCTGGGGACCCCTGGGAAGGCTTGCTGCTGGTCACCTCCCACATGTTGCTGCTCGACCAGGAGCCGGGGAGCTGGGCAGCTAGGCTGGCCATGGGGGTGCCCGACTGCAGGCTAGACTCGGGAAGGACCGGCTCGCTGGCTCTGTGCCCCTTCTTTCTGAGTGGCTTGTCCCCCATGAGCAGGGGCTGCCCATCGGGCAGGATGATGGTGGAGCAAAGGGCTGGCACTCTGACAGACCTCTTGGGGTGCATGGGGACACTGGAAGGGACCGAGGGGCAGGGTTGAGGCCCAACCTCCGGCCTCACCGGCTTTAGTGGGACCAAGCAGCTGGCCCTGAGTTTTCTGGTACTGAAGCATGAGGTACGTGGCCATCGCTGCGTCGAACTTTCTAGCTTTCAGGGACATCCAGGTGTCACTCAGCTCCAGCATGACCTTCATGATCGCGGGGTCCAGGGGAGGTTCTGTGCATGAACATGGTGGCTCCTGGTCCTCCCCTGGGCTCAGCCACGGGTGCCCCATGACCTGGTGGATCGTGGGCCTCTGCGTGGGGTCCATGGTCAGCATCTGCAGGATGAGGCTCTGCACCTCTGGGGACCGGTGGGAGGGGACGTCGTACCTTTAATGCAGGACCTGCTTTCTCAGCTGCTCGGGGGCCCAACAGGAAGGGGTGCCCCAAATCTTGTGGAACTTTTGTCCAGCCTTGAACCTGTGGCTCAGGTTCAAGTCACAGAGCTTGACAGTGTCCCCCAGTGTTGAGGAGGACATTCCCCAACTTCAGGTCTCTGTGCCCGATGCCCTTTGGGTCGCAGTGGCCCACGGCACTCACCATCTGCCTGAACACTCTCTGGGCCTCTGTGTCCTTCATGCCCACAGTCTTGGGGACGTGGTGGCTCAGCGGTCCTCCACCTGCATCCTCCATCACAATGTAGACAGCCCCCAAGGTCTCAATGACCTCAAACATCTGGACCAGGTTGGGGTGCTGGAGGGCCTTCATGATGTCCACTTGTGAGCAAATGAAGGGTAAGTCCTGCTCTATCTTGGGCAGAACTTTCATGGCCACGTGTGTCCCTGTGAGGATATTGTTGGGCCAGTTTCACGGTTGGCAAAGGTGCCCTGGCCGATGTCCCTCAGAACTTCGTAGTGGCTGGTGAGGGTATCGTCCAAGGAGGAGGTGGCCGAGAGACCCTGTCCCATGGTCATGACTATATACTACTCTGACTACACATCCTGAGCAGGGACATCGACCCACGGGGACAGCTCAGGACCCCAGAACCCCAAATCCAAACCCCCCAAAACCTCAACAAAACAACCCCAAATCAAAGAACCAAGCCAGACCACAACCACCCAGCCACCAAACGAGCTAACTCTCCATTAGTCTCCAGGGTCACCATCCAACCACTCCCTGGACCTTGGGGACAGAAAAACCCAGCTGTCACCACTGCCTTATTTATATACCTGCTGTTTGAAATTCCCTCACAGTGGCTCTGGGTGACGTCAAGGCGGAAGCGGCCTTGTCCCAGCTCAGCAGAAACCACCAGGTGGTCTCACTCATTGGTCTCTATGACCTTGGCCACTGGAGCAGTGAGAGGATTCTGGAAGCTTCCATGGGTCGTGGAGATTTGTTCAGGAATGAAAACCTGTAGGGTGCCACCACAGCCAGTCCACAAATCTGTGACTGTGTCCGGCCTTGTCCATATGTCGTCAGGGGGACACTCATTCTCTTGTCTCTTCCACTTGGAACGACTGGTGTCCAAAGGTTGGTAGCACTTCACTCACATCATGACACTGTAACAAGAATGCTCTGTTTTCCCAGCCACCGACACCCCAGGAGGGGTGCTTCACCCCTGAGCCCCGTCCCCAGCCCTTTTTATATTTTATTTAGAGACAGGGTCTCG